TCTCTATGCTACATATAAACATGGTTAGCTTTGGTCGGCATCACTAAACTCTGCAAATGGACATCTACTGTCCTTATTCAATCTGTACAAGCACTAATCCTGAACAAATGTGGTTTTATTGGGATTATGTCCTGAAATATTTCTTGACTGAGTGCGAAGCAGAGAAGAGAAACAATTTCTCCTTTAAATGGTTGTTTAGTTTCCAGTTTGTAGGACTGTCGTGTCTGCAAACAGCATCTCAACAAGCAGATGATCTAAAAACTAACTCTAACCTGTTTGTGTTATATTTGTGCTGCGATCACAGAGTTCTATGTTCAGATGAGTGCACACTGGCTGAGTGTGCTCTCATTTCAGCACAAAATAACCAGCTTTAAATGATTTAATATAATGCAAATTCTGTCTTTTTATGTTTATTTGTAATGCATTAGGCTAATAAGGCTTTCAGGTAAAGTGAACTGTGCTACATTTAGTTCATCTGGAGATTACATGCAGATGTTTTTCCCCCAACAATCAATCAGCCGGTTAAAGAGTCCTTACAGTTTGATTTTAAAAAGATTTCTTTGGTTGCAAACAGCCAGCCTGTTTTCCCCAATGTTTTTCATAATTGATCCATTAAAATCTGTATCCAGAGGGGGCATGGCAGAGATAAAGCCTTTGGATGGCACACAAAGAGGCTCTGACATGCATGTTCACTCAGGGGGAGTCGTTGCGTGAACTGGAAAGCTGCAAGTTCAGCCTTTAATACACACACCAGCTTGCACGCATGCATCTTTTACCCTCCCGCACATCAGGTGTCCGTGTTAAGCCAGAGCTCACGCAGAGCGCACACGCACGCACACGCAGCCCTCACACGCAAACACACACGTAGACAACCGCCGTCCGTGCACACTGGCTCTTGTGCACACTGAGGAAAAGGGTGTGTGGGGCTTCTTCGCCTTGTCAACAGGATGAGAAGCAGCGAGATAGAAGCTGGGGCATTAGTCTCCTCAGGGCTAGCTCTGGGATTTCCTCCAGAGGACAGAAAAGGAAAATACAACACCATATAAATAGATTCTCCCTGCTCGAAATACTGATATGGGCTCAACAGGGAGCGCTGGGGGTGGGGGAGGGGGGGCAGACCAGATTTGCATTGAATTTCCTGCTTTCTGTGAGTTTTCTTTCATCCATGTGGATCTTTGTCTCATTTAAGTGTTATTGTATTTTCCCCTTACCTCCCACAGGGCAGCAATAGCATTAACAAAGCTTCTTGATGCAGTGTAATTTGTTGATAAGGGGCTCTGTTTGTGTTTGACGCCTGGCTCTGTCAATAGCCGCCTGTTTATGGATGCATTAGAACTGCAATTTTATTATTTGGGGCTGGTTATGAATGCGTGGATGCATGGGCGGCCATATGCGTCGTGAGCGTTTGTCCTGCAGGCTGGTTGACTGAACAGCTGAAGCTCATTGTCCTGTCTCTGCAGGGTGGAAAGGAGCCAGTCGGTCTGTCCACCGTACAAACTACAGCTGGAGGAGTGTCTGTCTGCCGAGCAGGTGCCCACCCCAGAGCTCATCCAGGGCTACGTCAAGAAGGTAGGAAGATTTTACACAAAGGGTTTGTCAGCTTGTGCCCAGCTGGAGGGAGGGATGCAGGAAAGATATGAAAAAACTTAGTCTGCTCCCAAAATCGTTTTGTTCAGCGTGTCAGCCTGTCTGAAAGCCCAGAGAACACAACGTCTGAGTGTTTACAACTGTATTCCAGCGAATCAACCACATGGCTAAACCTGCCAGCGAGCGCGGCGCCATCAAGCTGAGGCCTTTTAATAGCGGCTTGTCACTAAATGCTGGGAGCGGAGTTGCCAACGAAGCGCGCCGTGCTGGAGGAGTGACAACAAAAGTTCCTTTTTTTTTTTGATGTAATTGTCACCTTAAAACATAACAAAACCCAGGGGTGGTGACAGCGTGTGTGTATTTCAGGAGACGTCAGTTATGAATTAATGGCAACTCCACGTCTTTGATTTTGTTGTCACTCTGCTAATACGAGCAGCGTCAACAGGCTTCAGCTGCCATTAGTCAAACGTTTCCTGAACTGCTTCCCCAAGTAATCATCTCACTGTCGACTTAGTCAGCTAAAAAAATCTGAGTTTTATGACGCAAGATATCCTGCGTGTCAATCCGAAATGTGCCAAATTAGTAACTTCTGGCAGTAATTACTAGAGAGGAAATGCAGGCAGGACAGCGGGCAGCACTGACAAAGGGGGCTTCACCGGATCCAAAACAGACTTTTGGAATAAAACCCCACATACATAAATTAATTTTTACAAAAGAAAGCCCTGATCCAAAGCTTTCCCGAGCACAGCCAGACCCGACCTAAACAATTAGACCCGATCAAAAACACAGGGAGACAACTAGCATTGGCAGCAGGCACCAATTACTGAGCAGCAATATGTGTAATTTCTACCTGCGCTTCTCGGTTCACCCTCTCCAGCTCACCTCTGAAGAATATTTCTCTCCCGCTGTAATTATAATGAACTGTGAGTTGATAGCAGGTCCGCTCTGATCCACTTGAGTATTGTACATATTAACACACAAACTCTGCAGTACGTGATTAGACTCAACCTTGTCGTCTCAGATACTGAGGACCTGAGAGAACCTCTAATTGAGATCTTTGATAAGTGTGAACGTAGCAATGCAGTAAAGTAAAAGACAACTAAAAACGTACCAGTGAATGGTTTAAGTCCGACTATAGAGCTACTGATGCATTAAGCCCTTACTGACTGACTTCTCTGCCATTAAGGGACAGCACAAACGTACTATTTCATAACTCACTGTGGGCATAAGGCATCCCTGTTTTGACAGAAGTGAAATAAAATCAACCAACAGCATCGAGCTACTGGAGGAGGCTTAACGTATGAGTCACAGACGGAGCGACACTTTACACTATGAGCATTATCAGAGCTGCATTAAAGTGGAAATTATTGGCAAGGTCATAGAATACAGTACAACAAGTGTTGTCTTGTAAATATGAGATCTTTCCTCAAGATAACTGATCATGAGAAAAAGAGCCTATAATTGGCATGAGGTCTCCATTTAAAGAAACAATAACCAATAACTAGCTGCAATGCAAACCACCTATTAACACATCCAGCAGAGTTAGAGCGACATTAGCTTGTATCTAAAGCCACATTTCCATTCTTTCAATGTAAGACTGGATTTATGCTGCCACATTGACATCCATTTGCGTAACTCCTCGCCTACTCATGGAAAAGCTCGATCGGAATTCAACCAATGCGTGCTTGAGTCCTCCAACAAGCCAACAACGTGTCGCCCTTCGGCGATGATGCTATGCGTAGATCAAATGCTGCTGACCACAGTAGACTTCACACAAGTTCAGCTTGTGACTGCAGATAAAACAGGCCTCTGAGTTATCCTCTCTGATAGCGATCTACTTCAAAGCTCAGCTTCACTCTGTACAAAAAAGTTCTTTGTCCACAATGACTTCTGTCTTTTCTGCGCCGAGGGCAAAACAAAAGGATCAACCACAAACCAGCGGAAGCAAGAATGGACTGAAAACCTCCTTCCTATTTTTAACACGGCTGTAAGTGGCAGTCATGACTACAGCAGGCAGATGTGCATGTAGGGGCGGAGCCAAGGGGCGGAGCCAAGGGGTGGCCATGGCCATCGCTCTGCTGGCCGCCCAACACCACCAATAGGGAAGCCTGCTAGAGGGCTACGCATGCAGTCGTACAACTGGAGGTACATACAGGAACTACTACTGTTCTGATAGAATGGTTCTGCTGGGGCTGCATGGTGGCTCAGTGGTTAGTACTGTCGCCTTGCAGCTAGAAGGTCGCCGGTTCACGTCCCGGTGAGGACACCCGGGATCTTCCTGCGTGGAGTCTCCATGTTCTCCCCGTGCAGCGTGGGTTCTCTCCGGGTTCTCCGGCTTCCTCCCACAGTCCACAAACATGCTGAGGTTAATTGGTGATTGTAAATTGTCCGTAGGTGTGAATGTGAGTGAAGTGTAAGATTTCAATTATTGTCTCTAAAAAGTGTTCATACCGTATAAAAATTCCATTTTTATATGAAAAAAAAGACAGATTCTGTGCATGTTTTTATTAGTTAAAGTGCATATGTTGTAGGTTTAGCTGTGGATTTATTTTAAGTTCTTGTATCAACTACAAGACTGTCGAGATAAAACCTACTTTAAGGAGCTCTAGAAACAAGTGGTGGAAACAAGCTGCTCAGCAATGAAACACTGACCAAGAACCTGCATCCAAAAGAAGGAAACAAAAGGCTGGATGGACAGTGATGTCTGAACTAGGCGGCTGTCCTGAGTAAAAACCAGGACACTTTGACCGGCAGTATCTTGAGCATACTTTTCTTATGTAATTTGACATTATAGTTATCTTTATCGAGCTTCATTAGCCGTTTTAACAGCACACCTTAAGTAACTGCTCCAGGTTGTAGCTGAGTTGAGCTTAACATAAAACTGCTTGTTATACACGACATAAATTGACATGTAGTTCTAGATGGCAGTCTGGCCTGCATGAAAAAACTCACAATGACATTCACCACATCGACATGAGCGGTGGTCTTATAAAAACAACTGGATCTGCAAAGCTCCACGTAGCACCAACGCAGTCACATGTTGCAGCCTTAAGTCAAACATTCTCTTTCTGGCTTTGTTTTGCTCTTCGTCTGTTTCCTGAGGGAACTGTGTGGCTCTGAAGTCGCTCACTGCTCCACAGCGCTGGTCGCTACCTCAGTCCGTCAGCACCAGGTGGGTTTGTGGTGTTTGGCTTTAAAGAACTGAGTGAACCAATCAGGAAAGCTGCGACTGTAAAACCAAAACAGTGAGCTAAAAGAATGTAAAAAAGAGTCAAGGTGAGAAATGTGTTGGTTCTCCGCTATCAGCAGCGTTATTGATGTGGTTATAGTTTTAAAACGCAGCATATTGTTCGACTGCAGCCTGTGTAATACACTAAAAGCTGCGTTTCCTTAATGGTTCGGGGCTAATGTTATTTAGCAAACCCAATAGCTTGACACATCCATATTTTTCAGAGAGAAGATGAAAGCAGCAAACAGGAGCCAGAAATCTAAAATCACATTTCCCGATTTAGTAATGAATTAGCTCGGTAGCGTGTGTCACTGTTATGAATACGCTGCTGCAGAAAGCCTGTTAGAAATGGCACTTCAGATGATATATATGGCCCAAAGTCGTCTTTTGCGAGCCGCTAACGCTGCGTCATCATGATTGAACCTCCCTGCCTAATCTATATATTACTGAGCGTGATGTGGGCCTTTCAAGCCTCACTCCTGAACCTTTCTGTACATTTTGCCCTTCGATTAGTCATGCAACCGCAGTCCTGTAGGACCTCATTACTGTTGGTTATCATTTTAATCTACTGAGCTGCTACACGCCTGCTGGAGGAGCAGGAGGCCATGCTAGAAATCTATTAAAAGGGAAGTGGACATGGATGAGTGGTACAGGAGTGAGCAAAGAAGTCAGCTTCCTCCACCCTCTCTCCTGGATTCTGCGTCTTTCTCTGTTTTTCTTTCTTTTCCCTTTCATTCTCTTTCCTTTTTCTCCTCCACCGTCTCCGTCATTATCCCTTCACGCTCTCCTCCTGTCATCCCTTCCCTCCGTCCGTCTGCGCTCTCAATCGCTCTTGACCTTCAGACACCTCCTCCTGGTGCCACTTTAATAACTTACACGGGAAATGGGAAATGTGGTCTCGAGTCAAAATTGAAATGGGGTTTTCAAGACGGGCTGTTGATATTCTGGTGGCAGTGTAAGGGAAGCTACTTCCAGAATATTTTTCATCAAGTTTGTGCTCCGCATCATTTCAGTTAATGAAGAGAAATGATGTGATTTCGACCTCAAAACCTCATTTTCTTGACCCGAGGTGGTTCTGTCTGAGCCAGAGCGACTTGTCTTTTCTTTTAGACTGAGAAGTTCAGAAGAATGCTCATTTTAAATTAGATTCCCTTTAGCTAGTAGCTGTCAGGTTATTAAACCCGTCCACGCTGTCTGACAGTATATATATATATTGTATGCAGCACCAGTCAGAAGTTTGGACGCATCTCCTCCTTCAAGGCTTCTTCTTTATTTTTACTACAGTGAAAAATGAAACTGAAATGGATGAAATCTGGATTTATGCAGCTATCAAAAGCAAAAATATGTTTAAATGTGTGATTCTTCACAGTAGCCTTCTTATGCTTTTACACCAGATTTGCACTCTTGTCACTCTGCAGCCAGCTTCATGTGGTCATTATCTGGAGCTTTTGTTCTGAGCTCCGACCCGTCGGGTCATGCCACGCGGTGCTCCATCACTCTGTGTCCTGGTCAAACAGAGCCTGGAGGTGTGTTCTAACTCATAGCACTGCTGAAAAATCATGATAACCGGATCAGATGGTGCGTCTCAGCAGGATGTTGTAGCAGCCAAGCTGGTTGCCTTTAATTCTGACTACATGTCCGACAGCGTCTCCATCACAGCTCCTCCAGATACCATCGTTCACCTTCTGTGTCTCAAAGAAACACCATCTGCAACCAAAAACCTCATCAAACCAAAGTCTAAACTTCCTAACGTCCATTCCTTGTGTTTCTGGGTCTGAGCAGAGTCTTCTTCTTCTTCATGGTCTTCCTCAGTCGTAGTTTCTTTGCAGCAGTTCCACCATTAAGGTCCGATTCAGTCTCCATCCAGCAGCTGATGCCGACACGTGTCTGCTCCTTGAACTCTGGGAAGCATTGATGTGGCCTCTAATCTGAGCTGCTGTTAATTGGCAATTTCTGCGGCTGCTAAGTCTCTGGACTCCGGACGGACTGACCTTCATGTCTTAAAGTAATGATGGACTGTCACTCCTCTTCTTCGCTATAACATGAATCAGTCCATGTGTTGAATAGGGGGTTACTTTACCACAGCTAAAAACAAAATAAAAATGTTCTATACATCGAAAGCATTAACATGAAATTCCACTAGTTAACTTTTGACATGTTCGCTTGTTAACTGAAAACTATTCCAAGTTATTTTCAGGAGCTATAATCAAGGCTACCTGGAGAAATCTAAAGTATGAAACATGCTTTGTTTACATTTTTCTCTCACTACACAATCCCATTGCCACAAACCGTCTGACTGCTGGTACTGGTGTGTGAAGCTATGAAAACATTTTTCTTAGAGAAATAATAAAACCAAACAGAATCGGCTCTTATGGCTGCATCAGTCTATCTAATGGAGCTATTCTGGAAGTGTGGGGTATCAGGAGTAACAGCAACGGTCCACCACGTTGGTCCAGACTACATTATCTCAACTAGTATGGAGACTGCTGTACATTATTTGCAGACACTTTAATCCCCAGAAAAGAAAATTCCTAATCAACTGAGTGATGCAGTTGTTTCCCTTTAGTTGACATTGTTGGTTTTTAGTGAGATGCGCTGACACCTGTTGGGTGGGTTTCCTATAAACTTGGTATATTTACATCTCACAACGAATGAGTTGCACTGATGTTGGTCAGCCTCCGACTTGTCATCTAGTGACATTTTCACATTAGATGAAAATTGGTCAAATTTATGACCAAATTCCGGCCATACGGCAGCCCAGTCCAGCCAGTCTCCACAGCGAGGTGTGTCCGGGTGGAGAACGGTCTGGCTACACCCACTATCATTCAGCTATATGTGGCTCAGGTGGCAGAGCGAGTTGTCCTCTAATCATAAGGTTGGTAGTCCGATCCCCCGTGGTCGTGGCGACTTCGGGCACTGAACCTGAAGTTTCTCCCGATGCCAGGCAGCATCTTGCACGGCAGCTCTGTCACCATGAATGTGTGTGAATGGGTGAATGAGAAACACACTGTAAAGAGCTTTGAGTGCCACTAAGGTGGAAAAGTGCTATATAAGCGTAGACCATTTAAACCAATCACAACCATCTTAGGTGGCGCTAAACCCAGGATGCAGCAATGGTGCCCCTGAGAAATAGTGACGGGGGGAACATGCAACTTTTCCCACAAGAACACCCCAGTCAGGTCAAAAAAGTCATAAACATATCCTTTGTAGATCTTTACAACCATTTAAGAACCAAACAGGCCTGCTGTAGTCACAAACCAAACCTTTTTTAGTGTGTAGGTTAACACAAGGGTATACTGTTGTTTCCCATAGCAACGGGAAATAAACAGATATGAGAAGTGGAGGAGAATGCCTGATGAAATACATGGCTGGTGCATCAGACGAGCCCAAAGCAAGGCTGATGAGCACTGATGTGTCTGAAAGTTAAAATGGATAACACAATAAACATTAGCTGCTCAATAATGAAATGTTAGATTTGTCATTTTGAGCATGTTGACATTAGTACCTCCACCGAGCTGCTAGCATGGCTGCAAAACAATATTTATTTAGCCAGAATCCAGGTTGACATATCTACTGTCTTCAATTTATGGCACAAAAAATGGAAGAAAAAAAAAAAAAAAAAGGCAGGTGCACATATTAATGAAACTATAGAGCCAAAGGATGGCTGGAATTTTAATTTGCTGGTGGTCAACTATTAAATTAAACATGTCATCACTTATTTCCAGGGAGTTATTTGCCGATTTACATTCAAGTCTCCTTAAGGACAAATCACATTATTTACGATGGCAGCGCTTTGGCCCTGCTGTCGTATACGCACTTACACATGCTGTGATTTACTCTCATTTTTATATGCTGCTTATCTATCGGCAAGATGTCTCTGGAAAAAAAATAAAAAATAAAAAATCTAATCAGAATGCTTCTAGTTTGTCAAGCGAGAGATTTGATGGAATGATGATAGCAATACTGGTACCCAAAATAAATTCAATCATTACAGCCCTCTATTTGAATCTACTGTTCTATCAGCTGCACCGACATTAGACAGCCACAGCCATTCATTTTTCTCTCTCCGACTGCCTGCATTACCATTAAATGAGATACAACAGTTGCTCCCTTTTATCTCAGCAATTCCATTTCAACATATTGGTATAGGGAATATGATGTGGAAGCACCCAGAGAGCATTCAGCTGATATTAAACAATATGGCTGGAAACAGTGTGACTGTTTTCCAATTTAATTTCATAGTGAATAACTTGCAATTTGATTTGATTTTTATTTTCTTCCCTCAATGTGGCTCCAGATAGAGACGGGTGCTGCCTTAGCTGGAGAGGAGGGGGGGGTAGGCGGCTGGTGGAACGGCGGGGCAGAAATGGAGAACGGCATCATTAACATTCTCTGACAGTTAACGTTTCAATCTCGCCGTGTAGCACAACCCCAATATTGACCTAAAATGCCAGATGACAGCGCGGCAGAGAAAACAGTGGCGCGCTGGATGCGGGATGTGGCCCGGGTGTGAACAGGGCTGCAGTCGCACCAATCTAATCAAAAACTGTGTGATTGGAGGAGCTGCGGCGAAGGAATGAAGAGAAACGGGGAGGGGGGAGAAAAAACAAAGCTCGAAACAGATGCAGAGGTCTCAGAAAATCAATTTCCACAGAATTGATTTCAAACTTACTCTGAAAGTTTGGTTTCAGTTTGAGATCTCGCGGGTATTAACTCGCTGCTGCTCTTAATTTGAATCCTGAATTTGAGTTTTTGGTGTTTGACTAACACCCAGAACCTTAAACTAATGGAAATAAACAAGATATTCTGGGATTGTTTTTGTCATTAATTACTCTGCAGACTTCTGTCTTGATAGTTTAACTCTTTAACAAGCAAAACGTGGAAAAAACTGCAAAAACTACTTTATTCAGGTCATCACGAGGCATCTTGAACTTAAATGTTTGATTCAAGCAAAATATCAAAGATATTAATGCTACTACCACATATTTATATATATGACAAAGAAATGCTGCAAATCCTTACATTTAAGAAGCAGATTGTTGCATGAAATATTTAATTATCAAACAGTTCCTGTCCACTGACAAACTGTTTTAACGAGGGATGTTTACTCATCAGTCTCAACCAGGACCAAAGCCCAGTCTGTTCTTTATGTCCATTGCCACACGTGTTGTAAGTTTGAATTATTTACTTAATATGTGCAGCAATATCAGTCAATTATTGATTAACTGATGACATAAACTCACTTTTCATTGGTCATGCACGGATACTGCTGGCAAAGCTGCAGACACATGCTGGCAGCAGTAGGAGACAGGTACTGACTCCCTGCTTCATTTCAAACATGTGCGTCGGCATGAAGCCTCACAGCAGACTTTGTCGTTCTGCCCCTTTACGAGCTAAACCCTCAAAATGCTGTCAGCATGCCAGCATGGAAATGCCCACTTCCTCTGGTTGTAAACAGGAAGAGGCTCCAATTGCTTTATCTATGAAACTGGTATCAGCAGATACTAAATATCAAATGATTCAAATCGGATTTGGGGCCAAAAAATAAATAAATTTGATCAGGACAATCAATGCATCAATAAATGAATATTAGCACTTGCTGCTATCATTCTAGTTTTCTCATATCTTTGTATTTTTCTTGCTCCCAACAGCAGATACAGGACGCTGCTGACCAGGGGGTGATGTTTGTGGGATTTGTCCAGGAACCATACGGTGCCCCGTGCACCCGGATCAGAGAACTAGACACCCCCTCCCTGTCCCTGCACTCCAGCCCCAGCTCTGTGCTCGGATCCCTGGGCAGCTGCAGCCCCTCGAACCCGTCCAGCCCCAGAAACCAGGCAGAACCTGGAGCTCAAGCTGACACACCGGACAAAGAGGGGAACGAGGAAGCCTCGTGCGAGGCCGGGGAAGGAGCGCCGAGCGGGGAGAAGAGTCAAAGTGAGAAAACGGGGAACCACTCGGGCTGCGGGGCGGAGAGCAGCCAGGACGAGGTCTCACCGGCAGCCTCTCCGGTGTCAGAGGGGGATCTGGAGCACAGCGAGGAGCTGACGGAGGAGGACTCGCCGTATCACAATAACAACAAAGACAGCGGCACGGAGACAAAGGAGAGGCCGAGATACCGACTGCGGAGAGGTGATGGTGAGTGGTCTCCATGGTTACCGTCATACACTAAAACTCGGAAGAAAACGGTGTGTTAAGCAAAAATCATGTAAATGAGGACGGTAAGGCACTTACACGCTGTGAAAAATGAATGAACCCGGAGGAAGAGAGGGAGAACGTGATGATAATACGCTAACTGGTTTTATTTGGACACCTGAAGCATTTTTTTTCATTTTACTCCAAAACACAGAACAAACACTGAATCTGTTGTGGCCTCACAGTAAACACCAGGTTTACCATATTATCATTAGCTACCCCTGCTTTATCCTGTCGGGGGTCGTGTGGGGCTGGAGCCCATCACACATCCCATGATACAGGATCACCAATTAACCCAACTGAACTGTGGGGGGAAACCAGAGCACCCGGGAAACCCAAGCAAGGAGAGATGAAAAGCTCACATGGAAAGCCAACCAGCAGGTCTGAAACCTTACTGATATGAGGCAACGGTGCAAGCCACTGCAACACCACGCCGCCTGATTTACCACATTATATTATATCACCCTTCTGCACACCAAAACCTGCCAGTCGGTTTAGAAAAAAAATAGTCAAAATGACACCATTTATTAAAGAGAGAAACTATAAAAACAGAAGAATCAGAATTTCAGCTTTTCAACAGTTTAAATCGAAGCACAAAGTTGTGATATTTCATCAAAACAATTTTATTCGATTTGTCTTACTTAATTTTTTTTTCCAACAATAAGCCTTTGTACCAGACCCTGTAAAAAAAATAAAAAATAAAAATTCTGCCCTCTTTGGTTCAACTGAGAAGCTGACTCAGCAGTCACGTGACTGGAATTCTGTCGTGCAAGCTGTGTTTACTCAGAACAGAGAGGACACGACGACGGAAAACAAATTAGCAAAAAATGAGTTGAAAATAAAACACTGCTGAGCGACACCATAAACGCCACAAATCTCAGGAAGGATTTACAGCAAAGCAAGTGGATGGAAGACGGTGAGTTATGGTTTCTAGAGTCTGTCCCAGTCTGCAGCGCTCATGGAAACATCTGTAGAAAACAGACTCAACATTTTATTTCCAGTACCGCTAACACCTGTGGGTAGTCAGAGGAAATGTTTCACGTGTTGATTCCAAGAAATAATCAAGGACGTTCAACTGAAATGTTTTGTTTTCTTTTTATTGGCATTATCATTTCCATATCCTGCGTAACAGACATGTGGTTGTTCTGTTTTCATGGAGATGCAGGACAGAGAAATGAGCCCACTCTGGGTAAACATGGGGTATGAGCAAAACACAACATCCCAAAACTGCTTGAAGTTTACAGTGTTAAATTATGCACATATTCATTGGAAATATCAGTCGTATAAACTTATGCAAACACACAAAACCTTTTGAGGTGTACTATCTAGAGCGAGAGGAGCACAGCAAACACCTTCCAAAAAGAAGACGTCTTAAAGTGTGGGCAGATGAACTCACAAGT